CACAGAAAAACGATAATAGTAATGAATATACGGCATCATGTTTTCGAATTGGTCGCACCAGCAACAGCTCTTGGTGCAATAGTTGCTTTAATAGTTGGTCCGTTATTCTTTCCGCGCGTTTATGTCTGGTTTCTATTAATCTATTTTACCACATTTTTATACATTTCAGTAAATCATTTCCTGAAATTTTGTATAACTGTGAGAAATATTAAAAGAAACATTAGAAATTGGAATAATTTTCAAGAACAATTATCGCCAATCTCAAGAGATTCTGTAAAAAGTACCGGTACAAGCAGTGGAAGAACTTCTCCTATCAGAGCAACTATCGTTGGTAATAATAATAATAATAATAATAATAATACCAATAATAATAATAATAATAGCAATAACAACAGTAATAATAACAAAAATAATATTAATAATGATAGTAATAATGATAATAATAATAGTAATAATAATTGTACAATAATCAATACTTCTAATAATACATCTAATAATAATAATACAATTGATAACCATAATAATAATAATAATAATAATCATAATAACAATAGCAGTAATAATAATAGTAGTAATAATCATGACACTAATAACAACGGATTCGGCGGCAACATTATAATTAACATTAACATTAACAATAATATCAATATGACTAAAAGTGGTAATGGTTACGCTCCATTAAGCATGAAAGATGCTTCAGATATTGATGGTAGATACAACGATATGGAAAGTGCTCTTAAATTACATCCTGACGGTCATTTCGTTCATGCTTTCATCATTCCAAACTACGACGAACCTGAACCTTTACTAAGAGATACCATTAAACGATTGTCTCAACACAGGTAAAATATAACGTCTTATTTTGTTTTATTATAATGATATAACAAATAAAATAACAATATTCATCCACCGAATCATAATCAATTCCATTTCCATTTAAATAATTCAAGCCTTTTGATGATGACGTCTATCATTAATAATTATGTAAGTTATTTTTGATTTTTTTAAAAAAATAATACATGTGGAGATAATATCTGATATTTTACCGTCATTTTTGATATAATATTTTGTAGTTTTTTTAATTCTCGTTGTTGTTCCTAATTAATTTGCATATAGATCATACATATATAAAAAAGGTTACCTATGCGTATATGTGTGTATATATATATAGTTATTTATATCTCTAAAATTATATGAAACTCTACAAGATCTTTTCCTTTTAAAAAAAAAACTAACGTATATACCATTATAATATTTTCCAATTTTCCAATTCTATCATTATTACTTATAATATAATTCTTGAATTTTTCAAATATACAGTTCTCTAGATGATCTTTGATATTTTGAATTGTACCTAAAATGGTAATGATGGCGATGATAATAATAATATTTAATAATCTAATCAAATCTTCAACATCAATGATATATTTCAATCTATTAATTAATCATTTATTATTATAATCATTATTATTATTAGATTTAATATCTCTACCTTTAAAATCACACCCCCATTGAGCGTTCTGACAATCGGCTGGTCTATATTTACAATGCATGAAGTGATGCTCATATGAATCTAGACAAATTGTC